ACAATGTTGACCAACAATAACCATTTTATCACATAAACAGGCTAAATATCGAAACACCTTTGAATAATCTTAACGTCTTCAATATAAGACATTACATGACAAGACATTCGTTGTTGGCAGATGTTGACAGACACAAAAATATTTTTTTTACAAATTTTTATTTGCTCTCGAATCGTTGAGCTACCGTGTAAACTTGTTAACATGTTATTCGAAAAGCTATTATAGACCTTGCACCGTATCCATATTACATTGCAAAGGGGTGCAGATATCCTCATTTGGCGACATTTTGTCTGGAAAATTACAGCTGGAAAGACATCCAATATAGGTTTTTGTTCTATGTGTTGAAATCCACAAGGCACTGAGATCTTACAAAATATCTGAAAGGCTTAAGTTGAATGGCGAACTTTATCGAAGTATGAAATGCGAAAGTCTCGCGGCCAATGTTATTTGGTTGGTTTTTGGGTAGTTTGGCCGTCGTAAAATATGTTTACTTGACGTTTCGTCAACACGAGTGGTTGGCATCTTCAGAAGATGTTCACAGTCTCGAGTCCTGTGACATCTATTAAGTCTTAGCTCATATTTATATGTGGCTCGAGATGACTCAGATGTTGTTTTGCCATTTGAATGACACAATTTTCGTATTTTTTAATACTGGTAGCCAGGTTTTGTGTACTTTCAGTGGTTCCTTTATTTTGTTAAAGTTGTCCGTGTGTTTTTGTATCTCTATCTTTTGGTGAGTGTGTGTTCGGCTACAGCAGAGTTTTCAACTTGACCCAGACGAGTTCGCTTTGTGTTCTTTAATTCTGGTAGTCACTGATCGTTTTTTTGTTCCGATGTACACACTTCCACAAGTACAAGGTATGCGATAGACTCCCGAAGACGACACAGGGTCTCTCTTATCTTTTTCCGATCTCAGACTTTCACTTATTTTTGTCGTTGGCCTGTATATTGTTTTGACGTTCTCCAATGTGTCGTCTGTGACTCTGAGTCAAAACGATCAGTGAATACCAGAATTAACGAACACAAAGCAAACTGCCGTCTGAGTCAAATTGAAAAATCTGCTGTAGACGAAAACACACATTAAAATGGACCACCGTATTAAACTTGAAGAAGCCTAGGTTATTGCTAACACACGAGGATACCATGCTAGATTATACAGGGAGGCTATAGTGATACACAAACACACGGACAACTTTAACAAAACAGAGGAATCACTGAAAGTACACGAAACCTGGCTACCAGTATTAAAAAAACACGAAAATTGCGTCATTCAAAAGGCAAAACAACAGCCGAGTCATCCCGAGCGCGACGCCAACCGAGGATTCCCGAAGAGCTCTCCCTACCACCCGAGCTACACATAAATATGAGCTAAGACCGCGGAGATGTCAATAGCTCACAGGACTCCAAACCCAAGCTGTGAACATCTTCTGAAGATACCAACCCCTCGTGTTGGCGGACCGTCAAGTAAAAATATTTTACCACGTCCTAACTATCCATAAACCAACCAAATAACATTTATCGAAGTAGTTTGAATCTTGAAAGCTATTAACTTTTCTCTCATTATCATTTAGGGTGACGAGCTCCAACGAAAAGAGATCAAAACTATATTAGTATACTGCAATACATAAAATTGGCGACCTCGAGAGTTGAGTGTAAGAATAATGGGATAATATTTTGAATACTGAGGCTACACAGTTCTACTGCATCCGTAGGAGTAAAATCAATCAGTTTCACCATGAATTTCCTGTAGTTTTAGCAACAAACTAACTTAGTTTTGAATTATCTTGGTTTTGAGTAGGAAGAGTGAAGGTGCATAGTATACGTAAATGAGCTTCAAACCTAGCAATACCTTTATCCCAATATTTTGCTATAATATTTGCAATTATAGTCTTGTGCTCTTGACCATATTGTAGCATATGGCTCAGCTTTGTCTATAAATCTCGACCGTATTGTTAGCGATGTGAAAACACAGAGAAGTTAGAGTTTGTCACCAGACGTCTCGGCAGCTTATATACATGGTGTCTCATAATGGATTTAAGATTTTAAATGAATAAAACGGAGATTCAAATCATTGTAGAACAATTTTAATAAACTTGCTGGATACGTTAAACATGCGGATTTATTGTTTAAACAATCCATAGTTTAAATGCTGGCCGTCTTCTCCATAGCAGGATGTTAGTCTACAGCGCAAGCTGTGGAAAACTCGCTCCCACATCTGTACGGGTATGTTACGTGTAGCATTGGTAATGGGGTCTTTCAGTTGTTGAATGGTTTCTGGTACTGGATCGGTGTAGACGACACTCTTCAGGTATGCCCATAGAAAAAATCTAGGGGGGTCAGGTCTGGGGAGGAAACGGAATATGTCTATTAATGGAAATAAGCGTGCCAGAAAACTGTTATGTAAGTGCGTTGATCGTCATTGCTGCAGTATGTGCCGTGGCACTATCTTGTTGAAACCACGCACCGTTGCCATCGTCGGTAGGGAACTGTAGTAAAGATTGGCGTAAAAAATTATGAATCGTGTTGGTGTAGCGGGCGCTGTTCACAGTAACCGTACGTCCTGCAGCATCTTAAAAAAAGTACGGCCCTATTATGCCCAAGGCGCACATGGCACAACATATGGTCTTGTGGTTCTAGATCTACCAGCTGGTCTTTGATTCATGACAGAAGCTGTTGCTCGGAATCTTTTCACCCAACTGTTCATTAAAGCTTCCGTCTAATCGTCTGATATTGAAAAGTGCACAAAAACGTCGACGCGCCACGGTATAAGAATTGTTCGACTTAAAGAACGATTGAAGCATAAACGCCCGTTGCTCTGCTGGCCACAGTGCCATCGTAACTGAAATCCGCATGTTCGTGCTGCCTATCTACACCCTACACCACCACCGCCCTCCTACTTGGCGCAGGGCCGGCGCCAGAATAATTTCAAATCTTAAATCCATTATGAAACACCCTGTATATATACATATGCAAGCCAAATCGATTGCGAACCGCTCGTGCACCGCTCACAATCCGTTCTTTGAAATTATTTTTGCGAACTTCCAGCGATTGATGGAAAAGCCGGACCATCCTCAAACCGTCAGCGGCCACCGGTCTGTTGGTCTTCCAGGAACTTGAAACCTTCGTATGCAAACCATCTAGTCAGATAAACCTGACCCCTTCCTACTCATACAATACAGAATTAAAATTATTACAACTAAATCTCCATCCGCATAAATGCCTTATTGTATTTCAGTAATCACTTTGTAATTGTAGTATGAAGTGTTTATTTGTGTGATAACATCAGTAAGTTATACAGATCCGTTAGGTGTAAGTAAGTACAAGCTACTGAAATTTATAATACAGTTAAATAGTGAAACAAACAAAAAAGTATAAAAGTCCCTATATTGTTATTTCTACATTTTTTGCATTTTCCTCTACCAATTCTGCTTCCAATATTGTTTTTCACACGCCTATAAGCCAGTAAACATGTTATTTTTTCTTTACACTGGCCTGCAGGCATATCCATTTCCGCACATATTTTCCGCCAAGCATCCTTTTTTTTGAATGGTTATTATTTTTGGGATACCTCAACAAAGATTTAGATTTATAAACATTAATTGACCGTGATATTTATTCTTCTGACCACTCCATATTTAAATAATACTTGTGAGCGGAACAAAAACCACAAACTCAACAAACACGTCCCAATATGTACTGCGAATCCAAAAGGATTCATCAAAAAAGCCGACAGCTCACGGTTCTCCAGGACCGGCTTAGGAACGGGTCTTGAGCACGTAGTATGCTACGAGGGATATCTTTTAAGTTTTGCATATAGAAACATAATAGGCCGCGCGGATCGAACGTCAGTACTGAATCTTAACCTCACTCTTTAGTAAACTTAAATCCAAAGTTTCACAACAATACGTGCAGTGTTCTCACTAAAGTGAAGTGTCACCAAGTCATTAGAAAAATGGAACTCAACCGAGAACATTTTCGCGCCATAATTTATTACAACTTTCAGAGACAATTATCGCAACAAAAATGCCTTGCTGAGTTACCCCACCTGTTGACTGAAGAGCAGAAAACAGCCAGGGTTAATTGGTTTGATTGACCGTTTCAATTCCGGAAACTCAAAAAATGTGTACAGCATTTTTAGTGGTGATGAATCGTGGATTTACTGTTATGAACCGGAAAATAAACGACAGTCGGCTGTTTGGGTTTTCCAAGCAGAAGAAAAGCCAAAAATCATCCGTTCTCGAAGAGTTTCGAAAAAGATTGTCGCGACATTTGTGTCAAAAGCGGGTCATATTGCAACAATTCCTCTTAATGAGCAAAGAACTGTTACTGCGGATTGGTATACCACCATTTGTTTACGAAAAGTCATCACCGAGCTTTGAAAAATCAACCCCGAAAGAAGAATCATCCTCCACCAAGACAATGCAAGCTCTCACACAGCCCAAAAAACAAGGCAGTATTTAACGGAAGAAAATGTGGAATTATTGGACCATCCTCCATATAGTCCCGATCTAATTCCTAACGATTTCTTTACTTTCCCGAAAATTAAAAACAGACTGCCTGGTCAAAGGTTCCAGTCACCAGAAGAAGCAGTTGACGCATTCAAAAATGCCGTTTTGGATCTGCCAGTAAACGAGTGGAATAAGTGCTTCGAAAATTGGTTCGAGCGCATGTAGATGTGTATTAATCTTTGTGAAGAATACTTCGAAAAACAATAAAGTCATTTAAAACTACCTACCGTGTTGTTTTATTTCCATATGCAAAACTTAAATGACATCCCTCGTACAAGTCCCGTCCGAATCATACATACGAAATAGTAGTTCACAAGCAGCTTGCAAATGATTAAGATTGTGTATGTATACGCACCTTTACATTGCTTACATTAAACTACACTAAGTAGGATTCCAACCGTTTGTTGTTGTATAGCCAGGTCATAGTTAAAATGTTACCGTATGCTATTGCAGCGACACCAGTTTCTAATCGATGTTGATCTTTGATTTCAGGTTGGTTTATGAAAATCACTATAAAGAGGTGACAACTCGAGGAACCAGTGAAGTTTATTCATGCTGCCCTGGATGGACTTTGATCACAAATAGGAGTCATGGATGTAACAAGCGTATGTATAATCAGTTTATAGTATCGTTACGTGTAGGCCTTACAGAATCTTTATTAAGAATACATTTTTCCTAATTTCTTTGCAAGTATATCCTACTAAAAAACTCAATACGAAGAACAAATGTGGAAACACAGTTTGTCAAAGGTTAGTTTCCAATACACAGCGCCTCCATATTGGGCCATCATGTAAAGAAGAAAATGTGGCAATGTTGATCTGCTATTTATTTTGAAATGCCAATACGATTGAAGTCAGGAAAAAATTGAAACAATTTTGGGATACTTCAGCTTTTCTATCTCTCTCTGGAAGTACTTTGAATTTAGCAGCATTTTATTAGTTAGCTTAATATGCAACTTTGCTCCCATTGAAGTGACTTCGTATCTCTTACCGTTTCCAAGATCCCAATGGTGAGGGTCGAATCTGAAACACCCGGTATACTACTATGGTTCTTGTAAGCCCCCGCACAATGAATATAGCTTATATTATTTAATTACCAAAAACTCAAAACACGTAACTAATTATGTATAATTAACAACCAGCGAAAAATAAAACTATTTATGCAAACAAATTCCTTGTCACACTTCTTGTATCAACTGCAGCTCTCCTGAAAGATTTTCAATGCGGCCGCTACACTAAATCACTTCAAAGAACATAAAACGCGGTGGACTGCATTCAAAATAAACATCAAAATTGAAACTGTTAAGAACTGTAAAAATGGTGGTATTGAATTATATGTAGAAGATCGCTACCATAAGAAGCTAAAAGAAGAAATTGGGAAGAATCTGCCATCAACATATACAATATCCGAACCGAAAATGTTTAATCCTAAAATAAAGATTGTTGGCTACCACTCTGAAGAAAAACTTCAAGAACGTGAAATAGAAGAAGATATTATGCGACAAAACCACTTTATAACAAAAGAAAATTTAAAAATCACCTATGTTAGATTCCTTCCTCAAAAAAAGATGAATATAGTTTACGCAGAGGTGTCAGGTAAACTATTCAGACAAATATTTGATAATAATGGAGGGAAAATTTTAATTGGTTTTCAAAATTTATCAGTTTATCCTAATAATGAGGTAACTCAATGTACAAATTGCTTCAAGTTTAATCACTCTGGTAAGAAATGTAATAGTCATAAAGTATGCTTCAAATGTGGAGAAGAACATGATGATACTTCATGCAACAAATCTACTAATCCCATTTGTTGCAACTGTGTATATTCAAACAAAAAATATAATAAAAACTATAATACACATCACTCCCCTACAGATAAATGTTGTGCTGTATTTAAATTTTTCCAACAAAGACATATATCAAGAATTTTATTCTAAATTGCTAAGGACTTAGAATATTTATGAGTAGATACATTACAGAATTTGGACCTGAAATAATTAAAACAAATATTTTAGACGATTTACCTACAACAAAGTTACGTTTTTCTAATAATATTGATTCAGGATTGAACATCTTTCACACGAACATAAGGAGCATTCATAGAAATATGAATGAACTTCATGCCTTGTTGGATATACTAGATTTTAAATTTGATGTTATAGTGCTAACTGAAACATTTAAAGTATATGATACAAGTTTGATTGAAATTCCCAATTATGATTTATATTATAACGATGGTAGTTTTAATAAAAATGACGGGGTTCTGATTTATGTAAGACAAAATTTGAACAGTGGGTATGAAATTATTAATATAACTCAAACAAAACTTTTACGAGTTATTCTTCAAAAGAATAATAAATGGATACAGATCATTGGTGTGTACAAATCACCCTGTATATCTGTAACAACATTTAACGGTCAATTACAATATTATCTAGAAAACAGTAGAAAATTTGATATCAACTTATTCATTGGAGACCTTAACATTAACATATTAGATCATAACAATCAAAATATTCAAAATTATTTAAATATAATGGCTGAACATGGTTACCTGTCAGCCATTAACGAAATGACAAGAGTAGAAGGAAACAGTGGGAGTTGTATAGATCATATGTTTATAAATTCACGTTTAGAACTTGACAAAATATTTTCAGCAATTCTAAAATACAATATTTCTGATCATTTTCCTACTTTGCTCAAAATCGATCTTGAAAGTACATCAACCAAAATTGAAAAGACAGTGAATAATACAAAAATTTACATTGATTGTGAAAAACTAAATAACAACTTACTCAATGAAAATTGGATTGTAGTATATAACGAACCTAATATTGAAAATGCATTTGTCCTTTTTATATCTAGCATTGAAGGCCATATTGCTGAATGCACCAAAACAGTAAAGATTCCACGAACACAAATAAAAAGACAAGCATGGATATCAAAAGGGATTATTACCTCTATCAACAAAAAAATAGAATTATATAAGGAAACCAAAAAATACCCTTATGATCTTAAACTTTTGAATGAATTTAAATTATATCGAAACAGACTGACAAAAATAATTAAAGAGGCTAAAATTAAATATCTCCAAGACGAGTTTGATAATCTACAAAATTGTTCGTCCAAAATGTGGCAATTTATCAATAAAATACAAGGCAAAAAACAAAACAACAAAATTAGTACAATTAAAAAAGAAAATGGTGAACTAGTGAGTAATGATGTAGATATAGCAAATGAATTTTGTGAATATTTTTCAAAAATCGGGAAAAGGTTGTCAGAAAGCATAAAAAACGCGGAAAAATTAAATTATAGTAAGACCAGATTATATAACTCATTATATCTGGAACCGACCGATACGCATGAAATAAAGACAATAATCAATGAGTTGAAATTAAGAAAATCTCCAGGTCTAGATAATATAACAGCGTATACTCTCAAAAGAATAAATTGCAACATCTGCGGCATACTATCATATTTGATAAATTCTTGTATGAATAAAGGAATATTCCCTTCATGTTTAAAACACGCTATGGTAAAGCCATTATTTAAATCTGGAGAAAGAGAAAAACCCATCAACTATCGACCAATTTCCATCTTAACAAATTTTTCTAAAATATTTGAAAAAGTGTTAAAAAAACGATTCACCGAATTTGCAAAAAAATATAACTTAATAGCGGAAGAGCAATATGGTTTTCAAGAAGGCAAATCTGCTCAAGATGCTATTGTAAAATTAACAAATAAAATATACACGAATCTCGATATTGGCAAACCAACTGCTTGTGTGTTTGTTGACTTGGCAAAGGCATTCGACTCTATTATTCATGAATCGCTTTTAAAAACTTTAGAAAACTTAGGTTTCCGGGGAATAACATACAAACTTATAGAAAATTATTTGTCAAATCGAACACAGTGCGTCAAAATTAATAACACATTCAGTGAACCCCATATTATATCACACGGTGTCAAGGCTCAGTATTAGGACCCATTTTATTTAATCTATTTATCAACGATTTGTTCAAAATAAATAGTACAGGTAAAGTTATCGGTTTTGCGGATGATACAGCTATTCTCTATGAAAGCAACCAGTGGCATACACTAAAAACCACAATCGAACATGATTTCAAAACATTTATAAATTTCTTTTCGGAAAGAACTTTGACAATTAATTACAACAAAACACACTATATAGCATTTTCTTGTAACGACAGGCTCTTACCGCAATTTAAAAAACTTGAAATTCATACAAGCAGTGGTCTCAAAGAGATTCAGTCAGCCCATAAAATAAAATACTTAGGCGTGATTTTGGACAAACACTTAAAATGGGATACCCATACAGAGTACCTTGTGAAGAGACTGAGATGTATTATTCCAAAATTCAGGTACTTCAGAGATATTCTAGATAAGAAATATCTATATAATCTATATTATGCTCTTGTTTATCCTCTATTACTTTACGGAATTTTGGCTTGAGGGGGAGTTATGAAGAATAATTACAAAAAGGTTGAGGTCATCCAAAAATTAATTCTAAAATTGATCCTCCATAGGGAGATTACTTATTCAAGTGATTTTCTATATGTGGAGGCTCAGCTATTAGATTGCAGACAAATTTATTTTTATTGTGGTCTAATACATTATTTCAAATATTCAAAATACTTTAATCGTACCATTCATAACTACCCAACAAGATTCAATCAAAATTCAATGTGTATTCCACAAACATCAAAAACCATTACACAACGATCTCTGTTTTTCTTGGGACCAAAATTCTATGACTTCATACCAGAGTCATTAAAAGTAATTAAATCAAATAAATCATTTAAAAAACAACTAAAAAAATGGATTTTACAACAACCAAGGTACTCCATCCACGAAATTGTAGATCTGAAAAATCATTATCAAAATCAATAATATTTTACTTACACTAACATCCATACTTTTACTTCAGTTCTAATTGTCTGGATATTTTTCCTGACATTACCATAATAATTCACCAAATTATACAGTATTAACGGGTTTTTTCTTTTTTTTTCATACACTGACTGTACTATTAGTTTTTATTTTGTACAAACCCATACACAAGTGCAAACTTTTTTTGGGTGCTTTATGTTTATTGTGCACAATATTTGATATTTACTTGTATTTTGTGACAATAAACATTATTATTATTATTATTATTATTATTATTATTATTATTATTCGAGTATGCATATTTTTCATAAATACGACCAACAGATTAGCAGATTTGTCACAATGACATGCACAGGTGACATTTTCCGTCAACTCGTGGGCAACTGCACACTGTCTAGCGACGGGACGGCGGCTGTACCAGCAACTATTGGGCACCCAAAGCTGATACTGATTTAATTTCGACCATTGAAATTAATGGTTGCGCTGTCCAATTTAGCTTCTGTTAATTAGTCAATCGTATTGATCAATAATAATGAATCTATGCCATTGAACATAGAATTGAATGGTAAATTTGATCAAACTCTACAAATCGGTAGAGCAATATGGTTGAACGGATGTTCACATTAGACTATTTCACTTCAATGACATAGATTCATTAAAATTTATCAATAAAATTTACTAATGAGAACGAGGCT